TTTTCTGGGACAGATCTGCCAGTTTCGGGAAGGAACACAAAGTCTGTCGGAACCCAGTTTGTATGGAGGTGATATTCTCTGTCTGTGAAACACTTTTGGTCCCTGTGTTGTGCATGGATCTCAACCTGAGCTCTGATGGTCCCCTGATCTTGTTGTCGCACCAAGACTGCAATACAGTCGTAGTCATTTCTAATGTGCCTAGGGTTATTTTCAGAATTCTCGGGCCGTTTCCGCGGTAGTTAGGAGAACAGGGGAGGCGGCTAACTGCTGTAGTCGTGATCTGGTGACATCCGATGAGATCCTGANCTGCGTGTATAAGAATCACCCGGGCATTGTCCGTTTCCCGTGCGCTGTCCGGGTTATTTCGTTGGTGCGCACGCTCGCTCCATGGTCTCTCTGGTAGAATCCTTATTTTATTTGAACTTTCTCGAAGGAGAAAGCTGGACAGAAGAACATTTTCTACGTCTGATTCGCTACATAGTGTCGCCCGGAGTAACCGGGGTTCTCCGGCGTGAGGTGAATTAGGCTGTCGCCGAAAGCGCGTGAGACCCGTAGGTTGGGCGCTGATCCCCATTTGCGTACACAGAGCCTCCCAGTACCTCAGCTCTTCGTCTCGTCTTTCTCCCAATGACAGTGCCGTGGGCTCAGGAACGTTTGTGCAAATCACAGTCAAGAAGCTGTTAGTCACATCTTTCTTTTTTGCAGACAGAGCTGTTTTCTTTGAAGAAGCAGATAAGGGAGGCCACTGGATGTGTGTGGGCTCCGAGGTGGCGGGTGCTTCTAATATTGCTTCTGTCGTCGCACCCGGTTCAGCCGTGTGCGTCCCTTGCCGAGGGGTGACTCCTTGTGTTGAGCATTTTGGTCGTTTGCTGGGTTTCCGGATCGGGCTATCTGGTGTGATCCGGGAACCTAAGTCCGTTATTTTTGCCTCGAGTGTGGCGATTTTTGAGTTCGCTCTTTCTTCGGCTACTGATAATAGCTTCTCGTACTTGTGTGTGATATAAGTGATACATTTTACAATCGGGATTTCTGCACATTCTGTCCAGAACTATATACTTTCTGTTTGGGTGGTTAACTGTTTTGCCTGTTTTACCGAGAGTTTGGCACATGAAATGTGAAAGTGTTTCAGGCAGTGTGTGCAGAGTATCCCCGTCTTGACGTCTTTCTTACATCTCTGTAGGCCGCATACTTCCGATGCCGTCAAAACACCCCATGCGGCACTTGTTGACGCTATGCGGCATCCCATTTTTGCACTTTATTGAACGGCGAAGTATGAAAAGATCACGTGAAGCGAGAGAAGTTGTCTCGGTCGCACCCTCGTCCGGATCAGTGGAGGTCACAGGTACGCAGAACAGTGACAAAGGTCACGTTGGGAATATCGATCGGCTTTGCCCGCCGCAGTGGAACAAACAAGTGCGACTGCGGATGGCAGCAAGGATTGCACTGAACAGCTCAAATATATCCGTAGAATGCTTGAAATTGAACTTAGAAAGTTCAATCAGGGTTCGTTGGAAAGGTTGTTGAATTTCCTATCACAATGTTGACACAGCGAATGAAATTGCACAATTTTGCACGCGTGAGTAAATCCCAAAGCTTCGAGGAAAACAGAAAAACTGTCCACTGGAGAGATTTGAGCGATTTACTTCCAATGGAATGATATCACAATATAGGGCTCACAGAATTGAGTCGAATGAACGTAGACTCGACGATGTACAACGAGAATTCGCAGAGAGATACCGATTAAACCGGGAGCGCACAATTTGGTCGACCGCACGTCAGTTGATCAGTAGAAAACCAACACGAGTCTAGTGTGGTCGGACGAGCAATGCTGAGGTTTAGGTAACCGTGATCGCCCACTGGAGTAAGTGATCGACCTCCATAGATTACGTTGGTTGGGGAATGTGGTACGCATGTGACCAAATAGGTTGCTACGGCGCGCAATGTTTGCCGAGACCGGTGGTGAGTGTAAAAGCGCCAAGGGGTGTCAATCTGAGACCTGGCATGAGGGTATGAAATCCCTAACCAGGAGACTGGGTTACACAGGTGCTGTTAGGCCTCTTGGTTGGGGATCCCGAGATCAAGGTCCTCTGTGCGATATGGCTGAGTGTCGGTGACAGTTTCGCTCATGCATCTACTCATTATTCTCTTAACATCTGTCTATATGAATTCTCTATATTCTGCTTCATTTGGCTTTCAACATTCGAATCTCTATCCTCCTCTTTTGTCCAAATTGGGGGTCAAAAGACAGGAACCAAAACTGGTGCACGAAAGTGCATGATTAGTGGTTGTAAAAACCGAAACTGTAACTTATTGTACACGCTACTCGAGATATTAAGTGTGTGCTTGGAACAAGTTTCGATGTGTTAATCTGTATAGATCTCCGCATCATACCATGTATCAACCATAATTGACCAGTTAGTGAATCGTTAGGATACTTCGATTTCTTGGAATAAAGCGAAGTTCCTCAATTCGGTTATTCGGCATGACTTGTTTCTTCACTGTTTATTGAAACACGTTTTTCCCTTTTTGTTTGCGTCTGGAGCAGTTTATATCATATTCTGAAGGAAAATGAAACTTTTAACCGACCAGAAACAAGTGGAATTAAAAGAACTGAGTGACTCATGTAAGTTCGAACACCTCCGTATGTGAAAGCCTAGGTATAGAGTAAGTCGATGCCCTGGCTCCAACCACGATTTTCAGCAATTTGTGACAGTTACCACAACATTGATATAGTTTTTCACATTGCTTCGACTGGTCAACTGCAAACTTCTGTTCCATCATCGAAGCCACCAAAGGCTTTCTACAGAACTGTCTCAATCGTCTGTATCTGTTAAACTCAAACGTCTATTTCAATACCCAGTCTTCACTTCTCAGTACACATAGCGTAATCTAAGCTCTGTAGGTCTGGATATTCCTCTAGTCACATTAAACACCCGCAAAACAGTCTTGTTGAGTGTACTATACGTATGGATAACATCTCGAAACCATCAACCGATATCGCACGCATCACCGCAACATACATCTGTCGTGCAGTGAATACACAGAAGTCACGTCAACTTCACCGATTACTGGAAACTCAGCAAAATACTGTCTCAATGATTATGTGGCATTATAAATTAGCCCGATGTGGAATAGATTTATTCGACTGATAAGTAGATTCCGCGGCAATGGACCAGAATTAAAACGATTGTGGTAAAACCATCAACATTCCAAACGGAACATGCGTTGCTTTTACAACTGCGATGAACCTGAAATCCAGCTCGTCTGATGCTCTGCAGTTTTGTATGTGACCTTTGGTTTTTTCAAGACCAGCAACACAGATTTTACTGTCGTGGATGATTGTGCTAAGATGTCCAATCAGATTTGGGCTGCAGCCCCAATTCCAACCTTTTTCAGTGCTTAACAGCTTTCGACTCATGCTATGAGGACCAGCACTCAACAAATCGGATGTTTGATAATGTAGTCGGATTCCACTGTTTGAAATAATAGTTTATGAGGAGAGTTTTTTAGTATTGGTTTTGTTTAGAAGCATTTTGTGCATTTATGTTGAGCTAGTGCATCTTCATGGTCGTCGACGTACAGCACGATACAGTGAAGTGAACTGCACTGATCGGTGCCCAGCTCACAATGTGCACAAAGTATGCGAAAATGTATAAGATGGACAGAGATTTATTTGAGCAATGTTCATCAGTTCGATATGAAGTGATACTTCTCACTTTGGATTTTCAATGTTTGTGCTTCAAGGTTTTATATCCATGGTATTGTTTGCATCAAGATTACTGACGGTGGGATTGAAACATTTACACCCGAAGTAATCATGTCGTTGGTTACGCGTTCCTGTTCCCTTCTTCAAACAGCTTCCAGGGAAAGAATTCCCCAGCGATCGATTGCTGACTCTGGATTTTTTCCTCCGTAACACGTCGGTTGCTCGTTCACCTGCTTTTATCAACATGCGCGAGATATGCGGCCGGCACAAATTGGAACCGGGGGAATATGTGATCATCCCGTCCACCTTTGAGCCGAATCAAGAAGCGAAATTTCTTTTGCGCATCTTTTCCGAACGTGCTTGTGAATCCAAGTAAGCCCAATTGTTTGGAATTCTAATGGACTCCTAAACCCGCCACCACAACCACTAGTAACTTTTATGGCAGACCAATCATCTGTTTCTTGGCTCCTTAATGTACGCACCTGTTCCGTTGAACGGCCGCATGCATTTGTCCACCTTGAATCACCGAGCGTAACTGTGTTAGGGTCTTTCTGACTTCATCACATAAACGTGCGCAGTGAAAAACTCCCGCGAACCAAATGCAATTTTCATAAATTGCGGTCAGGTGAACAGTCCGTCAATCCTTCAAGCCCTGTCGAAGGATCTTAGGAAAACCTGAATTAAATACCTGAGGTTAAGCGAATTTTCGGTGCCTACAGTTCATCCTGTGATGGATGTTACGCGATTTGCCAATCGCTTTTTCTACTTCTCTTGTCCGTGGTTGAGATCCTTGGGCGAAGGTATTCAAGCGGTATGATCCCTCTTTTTATTTTTATTTTTTGCGTCATTAACGGAACTTTATAGACCACAGGTCTTGATTGTGTGAATCTCTCTGCTTGTGCTTTCCATGATTAGACACATTGTGCTGCGAATCTGCTTTGGAACACTAAATGTGATGGCCAACGGAAAGTACTGAACCGCTGGTTCATCCATCCTGGGACTCATTAGCAATATGTATCATGCGTGCGTATATCTACCGGGAGCTCAATCGCGGTCCTTCGGGATAGATGTTAAGACCTNGGATAGATGTTAAGACCTTTACTCTTGAGCTTCATGGTACGTGATTTTAGTCCTAGAGGTGCGCACAAACACGGTACGCACACAGTCCCAATAAAGACCAAACAGTTGTCAAGTTCTGTTGTTCGGTCAGTAATTGAGTATGTGTTGACAGACGGTCGAGATGATTACGTGAAGTAATGTTGCATATGAGTTGGTGACTAGAAAGTAGTGGTATTTTTCGTACCAGTATCACGCACGGTCATCTACTAGAATCAATCGAACAGCACACGAAATTTTATATTATTAAATAAACACTAACTAATTACATTTCACTTCTATTGTTCTCTGAACTTTGTTAACTATTT